AATAAAAAAAAAAAAAAAAAAAAAAAAAAAAAGCTCAGACCAAGATCAGAGGATCTAAAAAGAGGAAATGTCTGGGAAATCCCAGACATATGGTAACCCTAATCAGAGCCCCGTCTTGGGGAAGGCATAGAGGGGCAGCAGCAGGGTCACACCAAACCATCCTGCTGGAGGAGGCAGATACAGTTGGCTAGAGCAGTTTTGGCCAGCCTTTTGGTAGGCATGCCACAGGTTAAGCCTAACTCCCTCCCTGAGTACCACTCTCATCCCCACCCCCCAGAGCCCTCCATACCCAACAACATTTGCACCATGGGGTGCTGGAATGGAGGCAGGGAAGGTCGAGCTTCCAGCGCTGGCCATACAAAGTGGCATAGGGAAAGAATGCCATTGCAAGAGGAGGTCTCGCCACCAAGGGCCAGGGTAGCTTTTCCAGGCCCTGAGGCTGCAAGCAAGGGCTCAAAGTCCTAAAGTTGGCAGCAGCTGCATGGTTAGGGAAGAGTTAACCAGGTTCATGATGGTGACACCTGATGCTTCCTTTCACAGCAGCCTTTGCTCATATACCTCCATTCTAGCTTCTCCCTTTACTGAGTGTCCAGGGTGCATGTGTCACACACAGCTGCTGCTTGGGGCGTGTGTGCCATCAGTTGGCCACCCCTGAGCTAGAGGATTCAGTCAATGTGCCCTGTTACAATGGCTCCGGGTGCCACAGCACCCTGTCATGGGGAGGGCCCAGCTGAGTAGTGGATGACTTGGATACTGACCCTCCCCCTGGGGAGGGACCCAGGCTCAAATGAATCTGCCTCACTGCCACCTATCCAGATGCTACCCCTACATAAGATCCAAGTCTCAGTGGAGGCTGCACAAAGGCAGCCTCCTGTCTTCCTCCGGAGAAGGGCCATACCCTGACACGGCCTGCTCAGCTTCTGTATCTTTCAGTGCTACCTGCTGGGAGAGGCCCAGTCTATCAGGAGGCCAATTTTCTACCATTTCTCCTCTTTCTCCCACTGGGGAAGGCTCAATTCCAAAGGGAGAGGACACAAGGGTTATTTTTACACATGTATGTGTTGCAGTGCTGGGCACTTTGTATAAGTAGTGAAATGCACGTCAGTGCTGAGAAAATGGCAGCGGCGTGCTTTTGAACTAAAACACCTCAAAGGTGCTTGCTGCCATTTTTTGTGGACTGCCATTTTCTGCACACCACTGCCATTTTCTGCACGCTGACATGCATTTCGCCACTTATACAACTGCATGCAGGGCAGTGCAGTTTGCATATGGAGCAGACTTGATTAATTGAGTCCCCCCTGCTGTCCCCGTTGCCTTCCACAGCCACCCTGTTGGGGACTTATTCATAGCAGGATGAGCCTGTCCTCTGTGCTGAACAGTTTAGGTGCACTGAAACCCACTGATGCCACCTCTCACCCAGGGAGAGTCCCAGGCCAGAGGTGAAAATCAGAGGCCTGTCTCATCACTGAGAGGACTCCCCTTGGTGTTGCAGTGATTCTGCACGGGTCCTGTTTCTCTTTCTCTGGCAGGAATGGAAATACAGGGTTCCAGCAAGTCCTGGAGAGACTGGAGAGTGACCCAGTGTGCCAGCGCCTCTCCCTCAAATCCTTCCTCATCCTCCCCTTTCAACGCATTACCCGGCTCAAGCTCCTCCTGCAGGTAACAGTGCTGGGACCACAGGAATCTCAGTCCCTGTACACACCACTTCCTCCTCCCCTACTGCACTGTCTTGCTGCACTCTCAACTGCAGGTCACTGAACAGGCACCTTCTCCAAAACCAGGCAACTGAATAGAGAGGAACTTAGGGCAAGAGGAAAGAAACCGGACTGCACACAGGCCTGCACCTTGCGGTTGTGGCTATCTTTGCTTGGTACTTTGCTGCCATAGGGTGATTATGGTGGATGTGCTCACCCACACTGCCTGACTCTGTGGTTTAAAAGTGCATCCTGTGTCTAAAACCAATGACAGAAATTGCATTGGAAAACAGATAAGAGTTAGTGAAGCGTACAAAAGAAGCAGGTTGCTTGAAGGAGGAGGAGGAGGGAGGATTCTCCTCAGTTGTACTCGTTGCTTGCAGGGAGAAGACAGTATTGCCAAAATACCACCAAATTATTTTTGATTTTTGTTGGCTGGCTGCCTGAAACACTATTGGTTTTCCCAACACAGAATTTTTTGGAAAGAAATTCCATGCCTACATGTTATTTTTGTCTCATTTTAGTGGGGAAAAATTAAAGCTTGTGGAATGTCCTTGTTGGAAGGAATTTCCATTGCTTGAATAGCTCCATTTAGAGTCTTGGGGGACTGTACTAACCCCATCTTACAGGTGGTATTGACCAAAAGCAGTTGTGTACGTAGGCCGTACTGGCTTGCTTCATGGCCATTCCCCTGAACATAAGAAATTGCATGTGGTCACCGAGTCTGTTACACTTGCAAAGAGCTTCAGCTTCTTCATTTGGGTGCCTGTCCTCACATCTCTGTTTCTTACTGTCAACTGCACAATCCCCTCAATCTGTTCATTTCCTCAGATCTGCTGCCCTCCTAAGCTCATACCTCAGTCTTTTCTCTGCCTCCACTCTGAAGATGATTTTGTGTTTTTTTCCCCGCCCCCAGAATATATTGAAGAGAACACGGCCTGGCTGTGAGGAAGAGGTGCAGGCCACACAGGCTTATGATGCACTTGAGAAGGTATGAGGTACCAGCCTGTTTTTCTCAGTAATGGCATATCCAGCTGGCAAGGCTAGTTCAGCCACTGCTGCTGGACATGCAGTTCAAGAGGTCCTATATAAGGGCAACTGCACAAGGAACATACTAAAAAGCTCATGTGATTTTCCTGCTCATGGGATAGTAAAACATACTGGGTGCATCTACACATTCCTTAATGCGCCTTAGATACTGCACATATAGTTTACTACTTCCTTAATAAAAGACTAACTAAATGCACAGTACCTAAAGTTACTGTGCATTAGCAGTGGAACGTGGTTATTCAGTGGTGCTTACTGCACATTAACTTAATAACACTGTGCAGTAGGTGATTAGCCCGGTTTTTGCCATAACATGCTACTGTGTAGCATTATTAGGCCAATGTACAGTAAGTGTCTTGTGTAGATGCACCCACTGGGAAGCAAAAAAAGCAGAACACTGGGGCAGGAGACACCCACCACTGTCTCTGCTGGAAGACTATAAGCAGGGGCTTCCTCACAGAGGTTTTTCTCTTCTATAGCTCATCAAGGACTGCAATGAGAACGTCCAACGCATGAAGAGCACAGAGGAGCTGATCTACCTCAGTCAGAAGATCGAGTTTGAGTGCAAGGTGAGGACCCATCCACCCTGATTTCAACTTCAGATTCTCCCTGCCCCAGTCCACCACTGCTAGCCCTGCCCTGTAACCTCAGTCCAGGCTCTCTCACATATCCCACCCATCCCACACTGTGCTCTTCAGCACCTGAGGAACAAGTATGAACTAGAATGAATCATACTTGAACAGAAAATGGAGTTCAAGTGCAGGGTAAGACTCCCTCCAAGGCCCTCCTTCCCCAGTAATTTGTCCCAACTTCAGTATCTTACTTCTGTGGCAGAAGAGGGAACCATCCCAGTGCCTGACTCTCCTCCATTTGCCAGGAAGGATTGGAGCTGAATCCATACAGCTCCATTCCTCAGTCATGTACTGGAGTTGGAAGGAAGGAGACTCAGACTGACTTACCCACTGCCAAGTGGGGAGATAAAAGCAAGCTCAAGCCTTATCTCTTACCTCTAGCAAAGGGTTACAGGTGAACCCTGGCTCCATAGCATCGGTTTCCATGGGGATCTGATGCCAGCACTCATCCTATCTTGCAGATTTTCCCACTGATCTCGCAGTCGAGAAGACTGGTGAAACGCGGGGAGTTGATGGCACTGGATTTCAACAGCTTGAGTACAAAGTGGAAAGTCACCACACGCCCTATGTACCTGCACCTCTTCAATGACTGCCTGCTCCTGTCTCGTCCCAAGGAGTGAGTCTCTCAGAGTGCATCTCTTACCAGCTGCTCTCATCTCTGGTCCAGATGTTGGTGAGGCAGGATCTTTCTCTGTTGTCTCAGCTTGCCAGCCAGTAGATGGCAACCTTAGCTAGCTACATTTATCAAGTTAGCAAGCCCACATTATGTAACAGAAGCAAGCTTTACAACACGCTGCCCGATGGTGTAGTTCTGTAGTCCGTTCCACTCTGCAACATCCTTCTTCTGTTTACCCCCCAAGCCCTCAATCTTTAAGATACAAATACACATGTAAGAGTGTGACTGCATGCAGGCTGAGTTTTACTCAAGAGCTAAAAGAGTTTTCTTACCCTGGTTTTGATTGCATGACTGGAAAACTAGCAGTACACTGGCATGGTAAGAAACTGAAACCCGAGTAGTTGGTGAAAAGACCTTTTCATGCCCCTTTTAAAAATGAGAAAGGTCAAAAATTTTTGCAGGCAATATCTTTTATTGGATGCAGTGCATGGTTGGGATACATTAAAAAACCTTGTCCAAGTTTAGTGGGTGTGTTGGTCTAAGGACATAGACAGACAAGGTCCTTTGGGTAAATCTGATATTTTTTATTAGACCAGCTCAAATAGTTGGAAAAATTCTTCTTTGCAAGCTTTCGGGTATAAATAACCTTCCTCAGGCTGAGGAAGCATCTGCAGTTCGTGTGCGCTCTTCCTGGATGGACCGGCTTTCTTGCTTGCATACCAGCCTCTGGCTTCTTTACTATTCATTCCATCCAGGAAGAGCATGCACTGACTGCAGATCCTTCCTCAACGTGACAAAGTGTGTTTATACCTGAAAGCTTGGAAAGAAGAATTTTTCCAGTTGTTTGAGCTGGTCTAATAAAAGATATCAGATTTACCTGTTCATCAGAGTGCCCCAAGGGATGACAAGGTCAGATGGTCACAAACTCCTCCAAGACCATTTTAGGCTGGATATAAGGAAAAACTTGTTTACTGTCCGAGCCCCCAAGGGCTGGAATAGACTGCCTCCAGAAGTGGTGCAAGCACCTGCTCTGGACTCTTTTAAGAAACATTTGGACGCTTATCTTGCTGGGATCCGTTGACCCTAACTGACTTCCTGCCCCTGGGGTAGGGGGCTGGACTCAATGATTTTCCAAGGTCCCTTCCAGCTCTAATGTCTATGGAATCTGTGAAATCTTGTCTGTAAATTTAATGCATTCTTCTTCAGGTCAGTTGCACTCTTCTGCAAGTCATTCTTTAGAAAGGTCAAGCTATTTCACAGGCTCCTGATGAACACATGACAGAGACACTATCAAAAGACTTGAGCAATTTTGGCCCTTTCATACATGTAATCACACAAGGCTGAAAAGCAAACAACCCCCCTCCTAAACACAAAACAAAAACCTCCTCCCCTTCAAACCCCACCCCAGATCACAGCAACCACTTCCTCTTCCTATTCTCTGTTTCTCCAAGGAGGCTTTCTAAAAGATAGGGGAAGATGAGGCTTGGTATATCCAACATGAAGGAAGGACAGGAGGACTTTGGGGGGGGTGTTATTTGGGGGGGGTTTCATTTATAATGCTAAGCCACCCCAATTTTTAGATCCTTTATAGGTTGCACAAAGCTAAAGCAGACTGTTATCCTCTCTTCATGCAGGGGTGGGCGCTTTGTGGTGTTTGACCATGCTGCATTCTCAGACGTGCGCGGGGAGAAGTGCGAGGTGAAGCTGCATGGAACAAACAAGAATGTTTTCCGTCTCTTCCTGCTTCAGAACAACCAGGGGAAGAGAGTGGAATTCCTCTTCCGCACGGAGACACAGTAAGAGCCAGAGGCTGCCCTGGCCAAGACCCAACACCACCTGCAGTAACAGCTGCAGCTGCTAAGGCACAGTATCCCTCAGCTGCATGGCCAGGCAAACCCAACAGCATCTGCTGGGGGTAGCACTCTATGGAGAGACAAGCTTAGAGTTGCAAGTGTTACACCCTACTTCCCAGATATCCGCTCACCAAACACCTCAAACCCATCCCAGTGCCCTGTTGTCCTAAACCCTTAATCCCCTCAACAGAAGTATCCCTCTCCTTCCCATCTTGAAACTCCATCCCACAACTGCCAAGCCAGCCATTTACACATCTCAAGCTCTTAAGACTTCATCTGGGACATCAGCCCCCCAGCAGAACATAGAAAGTGACTCCTCTGGACTCCCAAACCACTTTCAACCTTCTCCTTCCGCATCTTTCATTTTGCCTTATTCTCTCTTATCACTTCCCTCAAGAGTCAGTGGCAGGTCTCTCAGAACATTTCCCACCCAATCTTGCTAAATGTTGCTGGCAGTTCCCCTCTGCTTGCTTAACACCTGCATTTTGGATCTTCCAGCAGTGAGAAGCTGCGGTGGATCTCTGTCCTGGCTCCACCACGAGGAGAACCTGATCTCTTAGAAAGCCCAGGTGAGACTGCAGGGGTGGTGGTGGTTTGGGGTGGTGGGAGACAGCTTGGGGGGCAAGTGCTGTAAGGTGGACTATACAAAAGGGTTGGGGGGAGGGAGGGAACACCAAACACAGGAGTGAATCTGAAGAAGCCCATCAACCCTCCACTTTATTTCAACCATGTAAAGCTTGTGACCTGCTTGGGCTTTCCCTCCTCCCCAGGTACTGCCGCTTAGGCACTGCTGCCTTACAACCTCAGGTTCTCACCGTGGCATGTTGCCTGACAGAACCACTCTTCCACCACCCCTCCTACAGGTGCTGTGTCCAACCCCAATGATGTCTTCCCCTATCCTTCAGGGGATATGTGGTTCCCACTCTCAGTTCCATCACCCTATGACTGATTCTGCCTCTGCCCCTCATGGTCATCCTCACGCTTTTAGTATCATTTACAGTCTCTCCCCTTGTCTCTTAGATGCACCCCAGGTTCAATGCCTGAGGGCATACAAAGCCAGGGAGAATGATGAGCTGTCCCTAGAGAAAGCTGATATCATCATGCTTATGCAGAACAGCAACGACGGTGAGTGGAACAAGCTTCAACCATCTTGATGGGAGTGTGAGCAGAGTTTTAGTGCGATAGCTTTTAATCTGTGCGAAAGATGAAGAAGGAGTCTTTCCTCTCAGAAACTCTCTGTACCCTGACTATGGGATTGAAAAAGGCATCTCTTTTTTCTTTACTTGGGTCCTTACCTAGTCATAGGCCATTTAACATAGAGGGTTTCTTTTCTTAGTCTATTGGTAGGGGAAGAAATAATCTAAGCAAACTGACTGAATAACACCCCTTTGTCTGCCCTCCACCCTGGCAGGTTGGATGGAAGGAATAAGACTTTCAGATGGAGAGAGAGGCTGGTTCCCCTCGGACTACGTGGAGGGGATATCCAGCAAACATGTGCGGCAGAAGAACCTGAAAGAGGAACAGCGTGTGAAGAATGCCAAGCAGCAGGTCTTCTGCCAGAAATAAGTCCCTTTTTCCCATACAGATCCCTACCATCTCCATCACATGGAGAAGCCATGTTTCCTTAGTACGCTTCAGAACACGTGCACTTTTGCCAAGATTGAAAGTCAGCATTAGTTGCATCAAACTGCTATTACCAAAGAAAGAAGGAACCCTTGTGAGGAGAAAAAAATATATATATATAAAGATCGCTTCCTTTGGGTCATCAGGACTACAGAAGCAGTAGAAGAGGGGGAAGGGAAAGGCTGCACATATTGCTTACGTTGTGCCAAGATGGACTGTAATCAAAGAAACAAAGGACTGCCTGAGTCAGGACTCCTGGAAACCTATTCCCAGCATTGCTACTGACAAGAGGCATGACCTTAGGCAAGTCATCTGAGAACTCTGCCTCAGTTTCCCCATCTGTAAAATGGGGTCAATACTTACCTACCTCACTGGAGTTTGTGAGGCTAAATTCATTAGTATTTGCAAAGCGTTTTGGAGTTCCTGGAAAGTAAGGCAATATAGAAGTGCAAAGCACACTGTATTTAAGAGTTGGGAAAAGCTTTACATTTTCACCCTCTTTCAGGTCCTTTTAGGTAGTCTTGATTCCCACATGATGCTGCCCACTTTGAACAATTCATCTATGTAATGGGCGAATTTTTCTACTGATGTAAGTAAGTAGGTGCTGTTCTGTTGGCTTGAAACATGTTCTGTGCACTTGTGCCAGTAAGTTTCATTGGCTTGTCATTTGCTGGGTTTTTTTCTGGCCAGCAAGAGGGAGAATTTTTTCCCCCCCGAGCAGTATTGTTGCCTTCTTTTTGGCAAGATGCTTTTCTTTCGTGAAAGCGTTCCAAAATGACAAGAGAGTTCTGGCTGCTTTACTGAAGATTTCTTGAAGAAGTCTCACTTGCAGGAAGTGCTGACCACCCACCTTCAAAAAGTGAGTCCCTTTAAGGCGTCTCAAGTTGGACCAGTGGGTCACTCAAACACTCGTCTTTTTTTTGCTTTAGTTTTAACTCCTTGGCGAAGGCTTTGTTTTTAGTTATTGGTACGTGCCCTGCACAAAATGACCAAGGTTAAGGGAAGTGGAACTGCATTGCACATACATAACCTATGACAGCCGATGCGGTACTCCATGCAACATTTTGCACAATTCATAAGACACATGGAAGTAGTCAGCCACCACAGATTTTCAAAAACTGCACTTTGTCGAGATTTTATTCCTGTACAGGCTCATCTGGCTCCAAGTACAAGTTTGTGTGCTGTCCTGCTTTTCTGCATATTCTGTTTGTGGGTAAACACTGCTTCAACTATACTTTTTTATTTTTTGCTTCTCTGTTAAACAGGAGAACGGGGTTTTGCATTTAATTATGTTAATGCAAGATCAAGACTGAGAATTTAAAACACACCAAAGACAGAAAGCAATATGCTTTCTAATGCATTCTAATATATTTAGAGAGTAATCTACTTTGCTGTTTCTGGCTCTTGGTTTTTTGTAGTGCCCTTTCTGCCTTTAAAGATCCTGTTTATAACGTACCAGACACAGCTTGTTTCAGCCTGTGTGTCAGTTGTTTAAGCTGGATTTAAAGAGAGACAGAAAAAAAATACTTAAGATGCTTTTTAGTCCTAATAAACTCGTGCACTTCTCTCATTAATATATACAATGTTTACTGTTATTTTCCCTAGTTTTTCTGTGTCTGAAATAATTGCCAACACCTGAACTTTCCCCTCACAAGAACTGATTTTTTTATGCAAAAATTGATTCACTGGAGTGTGTTGTAACAGTCAAGATTGAGGATAAAAGTTCCTTTGCTTCTTAAAGTCCTATGCCCTGGTTGCTGTAGAACACAGAATCATAGTAAAATAAGGCTGTAAGGGATCTCGAAGTCATCCAGTCAAACCTTCTGCTCAAAGGAAGGTTATCCCTATCTAAACAATTCCAGTCAAGTCTAACCTACTCTTAAAGTTTCCAAGAATAGGGAGTCTAGGTAATCTATTCCAATGTTTAACCACCCATATAATGAGAAACTTCATCCTATATTTCCCTTATTGCAATTTAAGGCAGGTTTTTTTCTTGTCCTGTCCCCTGCAGCCACAGAGAAAAGTTACCACCATCATCTTTAATAATTATGATTCAGATATTTGAAGACTGTTATCAAATCCAACATCATCTGTCTTCTATTCTCCAGATTAAATGGTTCCACTTCTTCCCATGTTTTCTCATAAATCATATTTCCTAGACCTCTAATAATTTCTGTTGCTCTCTGCTGGACTCTTTCTAAACAGTACTGTGCCCCAACTGAGCCCCCCTCTGTGCTGAATCAGAGGAAACACTTTAACTAGGCATGCAACAGTACTGTCAATACAGCCCAGGATGTTATTGGCCTTTTTTTTTTTTTTTTTTTTTTTTTTTTTTTTTTTACAACAGGTACACACTGTTAACTCCTATCCATGTTATGGCCCAGGTCCTTTTCTACCAGTCATTACCCAGTCTGTATTTGTGTATGTGATTATTTCCTCCTAAATGCAGGACTTTGCATTTGTCGTTATGGAATTTAAGGCGATTAATTTCCAACCAATTTTCTAGTTTACCAAACTCATTTTGAATCCTAAACCTATTCTCTAAAGTGTCTGCAACTCCACCCAGCTTGGAATCATCTGCAAATTTGCAAGACATATACTCAATTCAGTCCTCCAAATCATTGATGAAGATACTAAATAAAAGAAAAATCAGACTCCAAGGAACTCCCACTCCATTATTCTTTCCAATTAAAGATCAAATCATTGATGATTATTACCCTTGGAACATCTTGATCCAAGCAGTTATGGAAGTACTTTAAGGTGGATGCATCTACATTATATTTTCTTAGTTTACCAACAAGAATGTCATAGGAGAAAGTGTCAAAAACCTTGACAAAGCCAAGGTATATTATGTCTACTGTTCCCTCCTCCCCAACTACCCCAGCCTATTACCCTGTGAGAAACAGATCGGGTTGATCAAGCATGACTTGCTTTTGTCTGTTACCGATTGATCACCTTGGTATCCTCTAAATCAGTATTTATCACCCTGAGGTGCCTTGAGATCTTTTTAACAATGTTAAATATGATTCACAAAATTGAGATCTCAAACAGGTATCCATGGTTGTGATCTTTCCACATTCTTTGCATGGAAAAACTACTCTATTTTTTCCCCCTATAGAAAAATGTGAAACCTAAGAGCTGGCATTTTCCTAGGAATGCCTCAAGTCTAAAAAGGTTGAGAACCACTGCTGTGAACGCTTAGAAATAAATTCCTTGGTATGCTCCACATTTTTCAGATATGGTCAGTCTGACTTGAGGTCTTCAGTTCTTCAGATCCTCCTCCTCCTGCTTCTTAAAGATGAACAATAATAGATCCCTTTTCAATCCTCCAAGGCTTCATGTGACCTCTGCAAGTCCTTAAAGAGAACAGCCAGTGACTCTGCAATAATCTCAGCCAATTCATTAAGTACTTTAGGATGCATTGAATTTGACCCTGTTGACTTGCTATCATGGAAGGGGAAGTTAAACTCCATGAAAGGACTACTGTAATCTCTACATCATGTTCTTATCTGTCACCAGACAACTTTATGCTAGCGTGACCTGGGAGGCCTGGGGGACGGGACATTTTGTATCAAACAAACTGACCCTGGAGGATATGAAGGGGTCATGTCCTCCCAGCTATTCAAGAGATTAGACCAGGGCTGTCTAACTTCTGAGTGACTGGGTGATACCAGGTCCCCACACCATTCTACACTATGCAGGCACCCCCTGCCACACAGCAGGTACCTCCCCCACTGCACTGTCCTAGAGCCCACATGTTGCACTGCATGCCTCTGCCCCTTCCTGCCCCCCTACCCCAAAACCAAGCAGTAGGGACTGCTTCCTGCACTGTACCATACCAGTGCTCCCACACCATGCAATCCCCAGGCTACAGGCTCCTTCAGGAAGAAGCAGCTGGAGGACGGAGTGGAGCCCAGAGACTCCAGCATGGGCAGCAGCAATATGGGGAACAGCACATGGACTGGGAGCCTGGGGGCCACAGGTTAATCCCTCAGGGACCCCATATGGCCTGCAGGATCCCAATTAGACAGCCATTGACTAGACCACTGACCACACAGTGCTGCTTTGAAGGGAACTGAAAATGAACCCACAATCAGTTTTGACAGCTGCAAGTGGTGCTCAACAACACTAGCCACTGCTCCTTTGACACCGTCTCCCACCCCATCCTCATTAAAAAACTAGGCGACTGTGGCATTGATGCCTACACAGTCAGATGGATTGCAGATTGGCTGAAGGGTCATACTCAGAGGGTGGCGGTGGACGGGTCATATTCGACCTGGGGGGAAGTGAGCAGCGGAGTCCCCCAGGGCTCGGTCCTGGGGCCTGCGCTGTTCAGTTTCTTCATCAGCGATTTGGACAATAGGGTGAAATGCAACCCGTTTAAATTCGTTGATGATACCAAAATTTGGGGTGAGGTGAGCACACTAGTAGGGAGGGAAAGACTGCAACAAGACCTAGATAGGTTACAGGAGTGGGCTGACATGAACAGGATGCGTTTCAATACTGACAAGTGCAGGGTGCTGCACATAGGCAGTAGAAACCAGCAGCACACTTATAGAATGGGAAACTCCCTTCTTGAGAGCACGGAGGCAGAAAGGGATCTTGGAGTCATTATTGACTCCAAGATGAACATGGGCCGACAATGCGAGGTC